ATTATCTAATCATGCCTTTGAACAATTTTATAAGTTAATGTAAACTAAAAATTTAAATCGTATTTTTGAATATATCGCTATTTATGTAATGTAATTTGTAATCAGACGTTGCGGACGAATTTATAGTTTGTTGAATAAGTAATAACAACGTTTGTTGTGATGAGAAACACAAGAAATTTTTCAATAAAATATCAATCCCGCCTCTCAAAGCATAAAATCTAAAATGACGATATTAAATACATATAACAGCCATACCTACTGCGGAGATTAACGCATTGTTAATTACATATTATTATAATTTATAGTGTACATAACACGTATATATACGTGATTTAACAAAATAACGGACGACTTAACAAAATGCATAATGACTACGTCCACTTGTCCCGGTTTCAGGTTAAAATAAATGCCCCATGGCCGAGTCTGAGTGTAGCATATTGCATAATTACACTATATATCGGTTACATAGAAAACGAAACGCTGCACCGCACTGGATTGCGCAACTCGGAAACTGTACTGTTTTTATCGGTCGTCGGTCGTTTCCGTATCGGCTATTTTTCGATCGATGTAAATCTATTGATAGTTAATTTTCTTAAAACAATCGCGGTATCACTCGTATATTACCTAACGACGAGGCGATTACGGTTCGTGAAAGTCAATCTGTATATTGATTTTAAGTATATTAAAACGGAGACCCTAAAAAACAATACGCTCGTATGGATAAGTACACATACACATATGAACACGTACAACCTATATAATATAGTAATAGCTGTTACGTAGTGTTAATTTTTAACATATCAGATGTATTATTATAAGCATTGTGTACGCAGCACTTTATTGGAATTAAAAATAACAACTGCGTCTAAGTACTAGCAAGACAACAATAGAATGATTAGTTTATATCCACGATAAAGAATTCTGCAGTCTTGCAATCCTGTTAAAAAACGTCCCATTGTATCATGTTACAGTCATAACAATTATTATGTATAAAAAAGACACATACGTGTGCATATTGCATTTTTTCTATCATTTCGATTTAAACAATGACACTAAACCATTGAATCCGTTGAGGTAACGGGTTATGATGTTAAGTTCACGTAAAAATGTAATACATTTAAATGAGCTAGTTTCCTTTTGTTTCTACTGACAATAATAAATGCATCACTATGGAACCTAATTTAACTGCACTAAAAAAGAGTGTAACTAGTGTGACTAGTGCACTGGTCATAACACATAAAGTATATTTTATTTTACATTCTTTGAGAAATGATAAGATAATTTATCTACGCTTGAAGGTATGTGCTTATGCTTGATATTAATCATTTATACTATACATGTGTTGTTTCGTAATATAATTTTTGGTAGTTTTACACGGGAGAAGTGAGAGTCAAGTCACGACCGCGACCACTGGAAACAAGATTCGCCAGAGAGATAATAAATAATATAAGGACTAGGGTCACAAGAAAGGTCCGTTTTGTCGGGGTTGTGTATATAACAATAGAATAAGTCATCTCTAGCGGTAAACTAATGAAGATAAATGGCTTATTACATGTTGTACTAATCAATGATATTGACATCGCGGGATGCATATCACATAATATATTACATCTGTACGTTGTTCGCGGGATGAATCCGGAGAAATTTATAAATGCGCACATCGATATCAAGCAAGTACCTACTATTGCAACTAGATCCAAGTCATTGGCACTCCAGTAGTGCATTTAAAACGGAAATAATTTCTTCGAGTGTTTTGATTCATACAGTGAAAGCCATTTTCGAGCAAACACAACGGAGAAAGTCTAATACACTTCGAATATGAAATAACCTTGATGGAAAAAGCCTGTCTCCCAAACGATATACATACATTTTAATTGGACTATAACTTTTTACCAGTGTAATTATATTTAGTAACAATTATCATAAAAACGTTGACGTCTCATTAACTAACGCTTTTCATTTTGAAACCGTCTTAATGACTACCGTCGGTCGGTTTTGCGTATCATATTATATTATATTTATTGCTTTACCTACTAATTTCCACTCATCTATATGCATATTATCTCGGCTATTTGCTTACTTGTATATTGTTCACTAACTGCGTTGATTCACATGTTAAATGAGTATAATTAATACTTCGATATGACCGACCGTGACGTAATTTTTTCTTTTTTTTTATAACAATATAATATAAAATATGATACTTGTGAAAAGAAATCTGACAAAATACATATTAGCTCCAAGCTGGTTCGCGTAATCATTGTAATTTCATATTGATATATCTTCATAATATAAGTTGCAATTATACACGTTTAATAGGCATATGCAGACAAGTAGTATATACCAGCTTATAGATATATTATTACACTTGATATCATATTATATAGAATAAATAGATATTTCATAAATAATAGATTTATTACATGTCATATGATATAATTTATTTAATAATATAATATAATAAATTATATGCATCGTGAATAGATGTTACGCATTATGGTATTCGTTCTTAACTTGACTATAAATTTTAAAAATCTGCTAACTACTTAATTACATCTTATATTAAAACTTTAAACTTCAACACGGTGTTTTGGATAAAAAAAAAATTATGCAGGTTATACATTTAAAATACTTACGCAATTAAACGACAATTATGAGTATATACCGTAATTGGAAGTTGGCTGATCTTTTAATCTTTTACAAAGTAAAATTATAATTCCAGCATGAAGTATAATATAGTCAATATAGTCGTTAAGTAAAATTAAAATTGATGTTTTGCCATAAAAGAGAAGTGTTTAATTTTTAATTTATTGAAAAGATAGCAATGATGTGGTACTGCTGATGATGACTACTGAGTGATTGAGGGTTAGTGTATGATATTTAAATAATAATGCAATATACTCTCAGAAACTAAGCAAGTTTAAAAATAACAGTTAGTCGTAAATAATATAGTACACAATAAACTAAGAAATAACTGTCAGTATTAATGTATTATTCTAAAAAAAACTTGAAGTGATATTTTATAAACATATAATAATAGAACCGAGTATATTATTATGTAATATAATTTTATTATTTTACCAAGTTTATTGTGATTTAAAAATATTTCTAGAAACGAAAAAACTATAACATTTTATAAATCTGGCCACTAATAAATATGTATAATTAAATTAGGAAATGGTGAAAATTCGTATCCATAACATTTATAATTTAGAACATTTCTTTTATCCAATTTAGTGGGTTGTTTAGAGACCAACAAAGTTCGAAATTTTTCATGTAGAAATACGTGTGACTTTACGACTATTTATAATCATAATATTTTACGAGTACATCAAATTGAATTCAAATTTATGACACCTAAATGTGCATAACGCATAATCATTTTAGTGTTATACAAGTATATTATTTGCACAATTTAAGCTATTAGTCAAACTTGTGAAAATGTGGATAATATAATTCAAAATGTTTAAACAATATCAATAAACTGATGCTTTTCATAAATCGTCGGTTTTTAATGCATTTTATTGTGGAATCGATGAATCGATATTTTCCTCTATATTCAACTAAACTATTTAAAAAAAAAATTGAGATGCATTATACTTAAGTATTCGATTAAAATCAAAAAAAAAAAAAAAAAAAAATACATACACTATTATAGAATAATAAAATATTTCCTTAATATCAAAGTCACGTTTATAATTGAATTACGTCGTATACAGTATTTATACTTGTATTCTTATGAGATTTCTATTTTTTTGTAAGACTTAAATAGAGATTTACTACATAAAATAGTAATTACTGGTAAGTAAAACAGAACAAATTATATACTTAATACATAATATTATATTCATTTGAAACAATGTGTATTAATTAATAATGAACAAAACTAATTACATGCACATTTTGATTTAAAAATCTAAATATTTAAATCTCTATTAATGAATATACCTATTAGTTTTTAATTTATAAGGCGCTTATATAAATTATCATTAAAATTTGAATTGTATTTTACATCTATATTTGCTCATTGTATTAGTTTTTTTAATATTTGAGTATTTAATATTATAAACAATATTATTTCAATTTAAAAATACAGGTCTATTATTTTAAATTATATAAGGTATTAGAAATGTTAACTTCAAATTAATAATTAATAAATACATATTTAATTTATTAATATGTTAGATTATATATAATATTATATACCTATAATTAAAACTTTAGTTTTACAATTATGTCAATAATATTATTTAAATATAATAATTAATAACATCTTAAAGCACTTACCAATATTAAATTAATTTTTAAATGTATATCTTATACATATTTTATTTAAATATTTTAAAATGTTTTAGAGTTAAATTGTATATTCTATATATGTACTGCAAGTTTTCAGAGTTAAAATACTCATGTTTTTTTCTTTAGTCAGTAACTGTGCATATATCAAATTCTTAGTAACAAAGTAAACTAAAATATGATAATATATTGTAATAATATTAATTAGTAATAACATTGCCTGAAATTAGTTTAAATAACTTTGGTATAATAAAAAATATAAATAAATATTTTGACTAAAATCTATATAATATCTATTTTTACGGAACATTTTAATTGTAGTTTTCATTTAAATTACTCATTTTCTATACAATATTATTGTATTTCAGTTTGAATATAAATGCTGTTGAAAAAGTAAAAATATAATAGACATATATAATATCTATGTATGAATTATCAATAATTTAAGCATAAAAATAATTTAAAAACATCATAATAAATTTAATTATACATATTTTCACTTATTAATGTATATTTATTTGTATATAGCAAATTGTACATTTAAATTTGGATATTATTATTTCCAAAATGTATCGTACATATTATGACTAAAATGAATATACGATTAACAATTGTAATATGTTTTTATTATTCAAATAAATAAGTGTAAATAGATACATATTATAATAATAAAAAAAAAATTAAATACAAAACTATGTGTAAAAACTATAAATATAATTTTTTATGTACAAAAAATGTTTAGAAAAAAAAACCTACTCACTACAATAATAATGTCACAACGAAATATTAATCAGATAGTGTTATAAATTACAATTTATATTTAGAGGAGAGTGGTTTAAGATGAGACTACCTATAACGAGTATAGAAATGTGTACCTAACCTAATATTATGTCGTAGTAAAAATGTATAGATTGGCGACGACGGTGACACGCAATAACGATATTTAAAATTATGGTATTGAATTACACAAAAACCTAGAAATATCCGATCATTCAATACGAGTACACGCAGGTTCCGGTGAATATACAAGCAGTAATATTATGAAAGCCATTGACATGAATCAAAGATGTGAATAGTTACGAAAATCTATAATATTGACATCGGTACTAAACCATTGATACACTACAAATCAAGTACTTCGATCGTTCGTTTATAAATCTATAAATATAAATAGGTAGATATAATATGAAATATAGGGCCGATGGCCGACGTATTTACATAAATGCGTAAATCTGCGTCGTTTGGTCGGATATTTCTCGTCTTAAGCACCTGCAGTAGAGCATGACTGTTCCAATAATTTATTATTTTATTAATATTATATTATAAAATTACGTGTTGAGCTGCTATACGTATATAAATATATCTATTATATATGTATATAATTAGTATCGGTGATCATCGCCTTTCGTTGTGATGCCGTTTGCTGGTCATCGACGACTGGAAGAACGATTCGATGGGCAACAACGGTCTGTCGGCCACGTACGAAGTGTGATACTTGTGTCTCGGTGCCACCGGAGTTACCGCGACCGTGGTTGCGACGTAGTCTACGTCTTCGGAAGACGCTGCGTCCATCGCTTCAGAAGCGTTATCATCGATCGGAGACACGGACGAACTCCTCCTGAGCGCGTTGTGCTCTTCGGCCGCCGCCACCGTAGCCGACTGCACCGCGGCCGTCCTGATGGTCGGCACCGTCCGCCGTTTGGCCGAGTACACTGCCGGTCTAGTAGGCTCCGTGGCCGCCGGTTCGCCACCGTCGTCCGCCACTGCCACCGTTGCCGCCGAATCGGTACTCGTTCTCAGCCTGTTGTAGTACTTACCGGGCTTGTATTTGCTCCGATACGCCGCCCGTTCGGTGCTGGTGTCCTGTTGCTGTTGTTGTTGCGGTTCGTTCGTGGTAGACGTCGTCGATGTGCCAGCCTTGTACCGGTTGGGCCGGACTCGCGGTTTGTAGGACTTCCGGACTGTCGTGTTTGCGGGTTGTTCGACGGTTTCCGGGTCCGTGGGCGCGGGACTCGCGGTGGTCGTCGTCCTCCGTCCTATCGTATACGGCGCTTTCTCCGTACTGGTGGATGTGGTCGTCGTCGTACTGGTCGTGGTTTTATAGTCTTTGATACTGAACCGCGGTCGCGTACCGTTACCGTACTTGGCTTTCGTCTTTGTGCGCACGTCCGACGCCGCAGCCTCGGCAGCACTCGACTGCGATGCGGTCGTGGTCGTTGTAGTAGCCGCGGTCGTGGTCGCCGCAGTCGTGGTCGTGGTGGTCGGCGCCAACGTCACTCGATCAGGCACGTTTTCATACTCGACTGCCGGGTACGGTTCTTTAGGTCTAGACGACGGCAAAGGTTTCTTTTTCTTAAATTTGTTCACTGACACCGGAACCGGTCGTTCTTCTCTGACGGGCGCGTAGGTCGTCAACGCCTCCGTCGTCGTCGAAACAGCCACCGTTTCATAATCCTGGTGTAGTTGTTGGTATTTTTGTCGCGGACGGTAGTCCTGTTGGTGTTCTTGTAACTGCAATTGCTGGCGATTAGGGACAGCGTACTCGTCGTAGTCGTCCGGCACGGCAGTAGTCGTCGAGGTAGTCGTCGTCGTCGTCGTCGTCGTCGGTTTTCGTTTGCGCGTTGTTTTTGGTGCAACCGTGGTAGTGGTAGTGGTTGAGGTCGACATCGGTTTGGTAGAGCTTTTTAGTATATCATAATGTTCGCTGGACTCGTTCTCGTCCTGTTCCTCGTGAGCGTCGTACTCTGATGAACCACCCGCCGCCGCTGCCGCTGCCTTAAAGTACGGCGCCTTCGGACGGCCGTTCACAGGTTGTTGGTGACCTAATGTAACCGGTGTGGGCAAAAATGCAGGCAGCGCGTTGACTTCCTTCACTGGGAATATCCGATAAAGCTCTTCGTTTTTGGGCGACGGTGTCTGGTACTTGCTGAACGGCCTGGTCGCTGGGTGTGTGAACGAAGTTGGCAAGTCTACAGTAACCGGTCGGGTTGGTTGGCCACTGTGTTCCTGACCGAACCGCATCTCTGTACCTACATTCAAGTTTTGCACATACTGATTGGGTTTTATAAAAACGTTTTGATCTCCACTCGTCTGTTCAAATGGTCGTGCAAAATTCGAGATTTGAGGGTATAAATTTTGATTTTTAACGTGACCTGGGTATTTTTGGAAGTGCGTCGACGATCCTCCTTCTGTAGAAGATATGTATTCCTGTTGTTGTGGCGGTGATGGTTGTTGTTGTTGTTGTTGTTGTTGTTGTTGTTGGTGATGGTGATGGTGATGATGTTGTTTATGTGGTTGTTGTATTGAATCCAAGGGGTTCACTAAATAAGGTTTTGGCCGTTGTTCCGCGTACACCTGTTTGTTATTACCCTGTGGTCTCGGAAAAATATGATCATTGGACACATAATATGACGTCAGTCTCTTGGGTGGATCTTGCACGATTGGTAGTTCCTTAAACCCAAAGCTCTTATGGTTATTGTTGTAGTTGTTAGTGCTGGGGTTGTTATTGTTATTATTGGGATTGTTGTTGATATTATGGAATTGGAAGTTTTGATAGAATTGCGGAGGTGGTTGCAATGGTGGTGGCTTTTGATAGTTTTGAGGATGACGTTGTTGAGCGTTGAACACTACAATTGCGGGAGGCTTTTGGTCTTCTGGTTCGTTGTAGTCATTCTGTTGAAAACGCCGATCGTTAGTCTCTTCGTAATGTCTATCAAAGTTGTAGCTAGGCCTGAAGTTTAAAGTGTGTGCTGGTTCTCGTGCTTCAATTGTTGCGTGACCGAACTCGCTAAAAGAACCTAGTATAGTGGGCGGTGGTTGAGCGAACACTTCAATTTTGTTAGAAGCCGCTGGTTGTTGGTTAACCGGTCGATTAGTATACCGGACAGGTGGCGTTATATGAACAACTTGTGAAAATCCATTGTTGATTCTGGTTGACCTTTTATCAATACCGGATACCGGTACCCAGTCATCTTGCAAATCGTTAGAGAAAACCTAAACAATTAATAAATACGTGAAACATGGAAACAAAAAATAATTTTTCAATACAATTAAACAAATTTTTACTTACGTTATTTTCCTTGGGCAAATAGAAATGTTCACCTCTAACAAACAAAATAAATCCTGCAAGAAATAATTAGTATTAATGATGTATCTAATATTCTAATAATTATAAATTATTATAAGCTCATAGATAATTAAATTATTTTCAAAACTTTGAAACAAATATTTACCTAAAAGGATATTCAAAGAAATCAAACAAATAGATGTTCTTACACTCATTGTTCAGTCGTAAAACCCATTTACTCCTAAAATACATACAAAAATCATACATTAAAAACATTTATATAATTTTACCTTCACGACGTAAATACATAGATTAAAATTAAGAACGTGTAATTATTAATATTTTAAGCATCATTAATTCAGTCATTCAATACTTATACAGATACGTAAATTATAATTCATCGGAGTATTCAAGTGTATTTACTTTCTACTCATTACATCACATAGTTTAGTACTGATAAATTTTATTTACAACAAAACTTTTTATTTTTTATTTTTAATACATAAAAATAATAATAATAATAATCATTTATAGTTGATAAATCTTAGTTCACATATTACTATATTATATAGTACTAAAATGTAAACCAAATAAGAAGAAAAATCAATTTTAGCTTATTATTTACAAATAATTTACTAAGGGCAAATTGACAGAGATTATAATCCTAAAACCCCAAAATTAAATAATTCATTTGATATCATTGAAAAAAGTTATATTTTTCTTAATTAGATTATAAACTATTCAATTTACTCATTTCTGATTAATGGTAAAACGTTAAGCAATAACAAATACAATGAGTTTTCAAATTTATTTCAGAGGGGAGGGTATTTCTTTTTCTAATTCTATATATTATGTAAAATATAGACTAATATATAAATTAAATAATTGCTATTAATCATTTAGCTACAAAAATATAAAAATACACATAAAAGACAAAAATTTAATGTAATTATAGATCGATTACTTAATGTTGAAAATATTTAAATAATTATAAATATACGTATTATAAAGTTAACACTTATATATACTATAATAAATTTTCCTAATAGAGTGAAAATGTTAAATACTTCTTAAGTATTAAACTATACAAGTGAAATTATAACACCGATTTAATGACAAAAATGTATTATTAGTTGCATACTTCACATTTAATAAGGAGCTCACAATAAAATTAATATTATACGTTTTTATTTAATTATTTAATAATTTAATGTATCTCAATAAGTACAATGTTTTAATTTTAAAAAAATCATTAAATCCAACTTAATTGAAAATATAATACATTTTATATTAGACAAGAACATAATAAGCATACAACTCATAAGGCCAGACAGTTTTTAATTAATATTACTAAAATGTGAGTTATCTTCTATCTGATTCTATGTTAGAGAGTTTTCACAGAGGTAGACTTCCCTTTGTAAACATTTTTTTGTTTAAAAAAAAAAAGAAAATGTCATTTACACTAAATCATTTTTTGATTTAGAAGTTAAAAAATTCATAACACTTTCTCTAAAAATAGTAATTAATAGATAACAGATTGTATCATTATACGAGTAGTAGTATTATTTATTTTTGAAAAATTTTCTACGATCAAGTATTATCTTATTAAAAGACGATTTTTAAGATTTTAAAAATTATCTTTAAATTTTTTTTTATTTTAGAACTCTCAGTATCTTTGAATAATTTTAAACTTATGAAACATACGTTATAACGTATAGTGTGTGTGGTTTTTTTTTTTTAACTTTACAGCGTCATGTATAAAATTAATTTCCCAATATTTGGCTCGAATAATTTCCGAAACTTCTAAAACTACATTCGATATAAAAATGGTTTTTTTGTATTTTTTAAATAATTTTTCAAAGAAGAACATTGACATGGTAATTCTACCGATTTATAATTTTAATTTGTCATTAATATTATTACTATGATTAATTATAAATATAAAAAAAATAGATGTATTTTATTTTCTGCTTTTCCGACGAAACAATTGAATAATTTACTGATTATTTTTTCTCAGAATTGTTCTAAATGTTATTAACAATGTGTTCACTCTCAGTGTTATAATTTACAAGATTAGATTTCAAAATAAGTTATATATGGGTGTAATGCTATTGGCTTAGATAATTATTGTAAGATGTTCAGTAATTTTGTAGGTAATAAATAAAATATTATAACTGCGTATTCTGAATGAAATTGAATTTTATTTGTGTCCATTATATTGTAGGTACATTTGTACATATATAAGTATAATTCTCACTATTATTTATTTTATTATTCATCCGTGTTTATGATTTAAGTAGTCTGCCCAGCGCATTAGTGTCCATTTTGACGGTATTTCTAAACAATTCAAATTTATATCAACGTTTTTCCATCGACAAAAAACAAAATTTCATTTCCTGTTCTTTTGTCTTTTTACTTAACAGTAGAATGTGTCATTTTACATTTATCTAGTCAAAACAGTTCCACGTACGATCGTAAAAAAAAAGGAAAGTATATGACACAATAAAACATGTAAAATTCACGTTTATTGGTAATTTCGCATTTGTTTTTTTTTTTTATTGTTAATAAGTAATAACCCATTGCAGACGACAATAATATTATTTAATACGCACTTACGTCTTACATACGTTAAAATTGTACATATAAACGTTGTCATTCAAACGTTGAAACGTCAATTGAAATTGCTTATTCAACTCTATTATATTACCATATACGTATTGAATAGTATAATACTACATAATATTATGATTTTTTACGATAATTCATTGAATATAACCAAACTGACAAGCACAGAATAATAACAGCAAGAAAATATGGAAAATTCACCAACACATATAAGTAGGAATTATGTATAGACATTTATTGTGAGTAATTTATTACTGTACAATTTATATCTAAATGACTAAATACATACAAGACTATTGTTTTTCTTTCTATTATTTTCTTTAAAACCTAATACCCTTATTATTACCTATTAATTTATAAAACTTTTAAATGATAATACGATTTACTAATTTTAGTACTTAAACGATAGTCACAAGTTATTTATATACACGGTAGTATATAATATTATATACATACGATGTACTACTACTACACACGCGATCAGCACGACTATTTATAATTTATTTTCATTAACAGTTTCTAAATGTATGCCATTGATCTCAGCTGTATAAAATTAAGTACTTACGTAGGTACCCCACTTACGTCTGCTATCACCTATGAGTACAACTATTCTAGTATTGAATAATCGATGCAAATCTTCCAAACGTTAAGACTCACGTGTAATTCGTATAGTAATTATAGAATAATATTATCTACTCTTGGTTTCGTTAAAGACATAATAAACTATATGTATGAAACATGAATGTGCATAACGTGTCTCGGCCGAGCATAGAATGATCGAAAAGAACGAAAAAAACCGTTAACACGCGCCGCGGCCTTGGATGTCCATACCCAGCGCTCCGACGCAACGTGTACACACGAAATAATTTAATATAATTATCACCGTCATGAGCACGTGGAGACGACGATTAAATTTCAATTGTCTAGGTGCCTAATTTTTACGCTGACTTATGCACAATAATAATATCATATTTACAATCTCGACGCGCCAACGGCTGCGTGTTTGTTTACGCGGCAATTAGATCTACAAAAACAACGTGAAACGCACAACAGCGACCATATGATCTACGAACCGTGATCGCGAATCGCGATAACAATGCAATGGAGTAACAACGCGTATTATTCGTGTTTTTCGGACAATATAATATGTATTATTGTATTATACACGTCGTCACTGGTCGTGTGACTTTTCCCGAGGACGTACGTGTGGAGCGACAGTGATAAGTAAGACTATAATAATATGTAATGGTGTATCGAGGAGAACCGTAACTATGATGTCGCCATGTCGGGGAGTTTACGCATCAATCCCGTTCAAGAGTATTATACACAAGACACAACCACAATGATCATTTATAAGCATACCTTTTACTATACATTTGAATATTAATTTTACATAGTTTTATAATCGAACATAGAAGTAAAAAACCGAAATAATTTGTGTGCTAAATTTTTTCATTGGAATTTATCATCTATTTAATAGCTTTTATGGATAAATATCAGTAGGCTCTCAAAAGTACTTTACATATACATTAAAAAATCAATTTAATATTTATAATTATATCTAAATACTCGTCTGAAAATATTCTAATATTTTTTTTGTTTTAGCAATACCCTAGGCATTTCAAAAATATTGTTTAATTAGTATATAGACGACATAAATTTAGAGCTTATTAGGAACCACAGGATACATGAGAATCGGCGAGGGATCCTAATAACTAATAAGTGATAAATTTATAAGTTTGATTTTTCGACAAGTCGAGCATTTAAAAACATTTAAAATAAATTCAATCACAAATATAAAAATATAATATTTAATACTCTCCGTGAAAGCTTTTCAACATGTGACAAATCCCTATTAAAAACAAAATAATTGAACATTAAAAAGGATTTAACACTAAAATATTCTATGTTCAATTTGGATATTTCATCAATTTATACCGATTACTGACAGTAAAATATACTTTCGAGGCTGTAAAAATTTGACGGTAACCTTAAAAATATTACGATTTATATACGAAAAAAAACTACGATTGAATGTGATTTTCTAAATTCGCGATATCGTATAGTGGGGGTAATACTCTGAAAACGTCGTAGATACACCAATACATTCAATTATTAATTTAAAATGAAGTGATATCGCTACTCGATTGAAATTCCAATAGTACGTCATACGTGCGTGTTTATACTGTTTAACACAAGCACCTCGTGTCGTCTGAGAATGCAATGCACACACATCACATATATATGTATATATATATATTTAACACCAGAATGAAGGTTATGTACACTTTCACTTGCCAATCGCTGTGACATTGACCTTCCGATGCTCAAAAAAAAAACTCTCACGCCGTAATGTTTACATCGGGTTTTTTCGCTCCCTGGTACAATTTATAACGTAAAAGAATATATACCTATACGTCATTACAATAGTTTATTATAATAACAACTTACAATTACACGTAATGCAAATCCACAGAAGTACACAGCATATAAGTGTATTGAACACGGTATAGTATCCTCTACAGTACGTCAATACTATTCGGGACAATCAACTGGCGAACATACTCAGCATAATTTTTTTAATTTATTCAAATTATAATTTTTTTAAATTTTTAA